CGTTCACGTAGCACAGCAAATCACTGACTCGAGAGACAGAGTCCACTGGAAAATTTAAATAACTAATGCGCGGGAAAATCGTATACTTGTTAAGGCATCAGCAAAAAACAAGGCAAGAAATTCTATAAAGGCAGAATAACAAGGAAGTGCCTCGTAAACAAATGTCGGATCTGTTATTTTCGAAATACAATTGTGCACACATACACATATATGTATGTACATTGTTTGCCTATCTTTTATTTTGATTAGCACAGGGAGCGATGGAGACTTCCGCTTGTTAGCCGCTGACTGCCTTGTCTGCGGGTGACTGAAAGCAAGCATTTCATTCACTTGAATGGCTGTCATTTAAATTTACTGCATACAATATTTAATTTGGTAAAAAAAACCGCACACTTGAAAGCACGTACATATGCATGTATGTATGTTTGTATTTATGTTAAATAATTTTGTTCGCTTCAGCCAACTAGCTGGTTTTAATACGATTTTTGGTACTAAACACAATGCCCGCCAATCAGGAACAATGGCAGAAGTTACAAAAAAAAATGTCTTTTATTTGTGCCATAACTTGGTGATATCTACATATGTATGTACGTAGAAAAGGAATAAAGGGTTGAAAGCAAGCATTGGTGGAGGAGGTATGTATCATCTTTAGTTGGCTGGTTTTCCAGGCGAGGTTAGCTGAGCCACAGAGAAAATTCTCAGTGGGTTGCTGTATTGTGTGGCGTCGATTAAGCGGTTGTCGGGGCCGTTAGCCTATTTGCGGTGTATTAAAATTTTGGTTAGTGAATGAATTAACTCTATTTAGGGCTTAACGGAATACTTTATGTTTATTTTGATATGGATACGGGGACTTTGGTGGTATTGCGTGCGTCTCAATGGCTGAAAAACTTACTAAGAAGGGCTGTCCTTGAAGTGATTTCAGCAGACAAAGAGATTATGGAAGTAATTTTTTTTTCCTCAATGAAAATCTTAAAATGTGCAATCGCAATATGCCCGGAGACTGCTCGGCCAGGGGAGCTTTTATTTTTACCTTCCTTTTATTAGCTCGGGATGTAACTATATAATATTGATGCGCCTAAAAGATGCAGCGATTTCTATTCTAAAATTACATACCTGATGACAGTACGAATGGCAATTATAATAGGGAGGTTGTAGTTTTTTAAACTATAATTTTATTTTGTTAAAATTTTACTTTCATTTATTCAATCTGCCCTACTTAAGAGCCTAAAAATAAGTTTGCTAATTTTACATCCCATAGTTGGGATGAGTTAATACTGGCTGCCAAGTTCTTCCTACGTAATCTTAAGTACCTGTTTACACGCAATAGAATTCTTTCGAATTGGTTTCAGTGCGATTTGATGAAAATTTCGCCTTCCGTTGCTTTATTTCGATTCGCGGTGCTCCGGTAATTGTGCGAAGGAACATAAAAATCCGTAGCTTAGAATCGTGTTTTTTACAGAAAACAAAGTGGGGATCAAAAAGTAAATTTTTGAAATTATTTCTTTGTCCGGTCTGATATGACTGCTTTCAGAGTTATCTGAATAGTAGTGAAATCTTAAAGAATCCGTAATGAATTATTGTTTCTCTTCTCGAATTTCCTAAAATAGAATTTACAGCGCACATTTCGATTTTTTTACGATTTTTCCGAAGAAACTCGGTAAAGAAATGAATTTAATGTGAACATTTTTTTTTAGAATTTTCATAAAGAAACCATACAGAAAGTTCTTTACGAGTTCGTGTCAACGAGTTCATATGATTTTCTTTGAAGAATCGTAAAGAAATCGGAACTTCGGAGGTGAATATATGTATGCACATTAGGGTGGTCTTTAAATATCAAATGCACGATTTTTTTCTATCTCACCCCTTTAATCGGTAATAGCACGTTCACAGATATCACTTATAAATTGTGGTCCCGATTGGAGACGATTAAGACGTATTCATTGGGTAATCTGAACTTTGACCCCTGTGCGAACCGCCTTAACCGACTTCAATCGGGACCAAAATGTTATCTTCGACTATAGTAGCATCGACGCGGGTGTTGAGACTTGGAAAATTTGCTTCCTACATTTAAGAACCAGCCTAATGTATATACATGTGATTTCAAACTTATTTTAAAATGTTGTTGTATTTTCAAAATACGTATTTTGTATTTGAATACTTTTTGTAAAAGCATTTTGTATTTGCATTGCAAATACTTTTTATGTATTTTGTATTTAAATACTTTTAAAAGCTTTTATTAGGTTTCAACTGGCTGCAATCAAATTTTGCTTTAAATTTTTAACCAAATTCCCGGTGAGCTAGAGACAAGAAACTTAAAACTTAGCTCGAAACCCGATGACAATGCAAATGCTACGGTTCATATTTGGAATGTATATTACCTGAATGAAAAAAATAACTAAAAAAAATTTGCCGATAGGTGGCGCCGGAGTCGGGATATTTGGAAAACTCTTATTTATGGTTCGATTTCTTTCATATTTTGAATGTACATACATACATTACTTAAAGGGAAAGAAGTAACTCCACAAAAATTCAGCCGTTAGGTGGTGTGAGGGTCGATTTTTTTTATTAACCACTAATAAAAGCTTGTCTTAAAAAAAAAAAAAAATATTTTTGAAGTACTTATTTTACGAGCATTTTTAACCTCTCTGATTGGAATGTGTATCGCAATATGAGTTTCAGAGGAAAGAGTTTTAAAAAGGTTGTAGTATGAAAATATTTTGAAGAGGATTGCACCTGTTTAAAAAGTATCAGAATAAATATTTTTAAAAGGTTCGTTTCTAAACTAAATGAATTAGAGTTGCCACTTGTTTAAAAATCTGATTCAACTTCAATTAGGCAAATTATGTATTTGTCAGACTATTAAGCTTTTTGAAGGTTGTAGCCGGAAATTATTTTGAAGGGGGTTGCCACCTGTTTAAAAAGTCCAATTAAATTAAATTATATGAGATATTTAAATATGAGTGTCGGAGGTGTTTGAAGAAGGTTGCCACCTGTTTAAAAGTTAGATTAAATTCAAATTGCTTAAGAGATTTAATTAGATTGTAGCTTGGAAATACTTCTATGGGTTGCCACCTTTTCAAAATTTTAAATTAAAATTATTTAGTAAAATAAATGAATTATTATAATCGAAATGTCGTTGAAAAGGCATAATTTCTAAACTACATGAATAAAAGTTGGCGCCTGTTTAAAAAAACTGGACTCAACTGGAATTAAAGGAACTAGGTAGGTGCCACACGATTGAGGTTTAGGAAGAATGTAGGTGGAGTTATTTTAAAGGAAGTTTCCACCTGTTTGAAAAGTCATATTTAATTAAGTTATATGAAATTTTAACATATGGAGTCATATATGGGTTAGATCATTTAGAATAGTTCTGAGGCATTTGAAGACGGTTGCCATCTATTTCAAAATTAGATGCAATTTAAATGCTTTAATATGTTAAATGAAATATTACAATCAAAATGGGTTCGAAAAGGCTCAATTTCTAGATGTAGGGTTGCCAATGCACACCTAAAAACAAATCAATACCAATATCTCGACACCAAAAAAATTTTTTCAACTGCTGACCTGTTTAATAGACATTTTAAATTAATGCGTGGAAAATCTACATACATACATACATATTTCATCTCGGCGCGACCTAAAGAAGCCTGCGCAATTGCATTTTAAAGAGCTTAACTATCAAAGCGAAAGCTTCTCTAAATATGGCTCGGCGAAAAATAATTCTTTGCATGGACAAAAATTTTGGTATACATACTTGCGTCTTCATTTCACAAATAACGTCGAACAATGGCTGGAGGAACAATGTTTAATGTGGAATTATTTAAATGGCCATGAATTGTCTTGTATTTGCTTCAATCGCCCACTTACAAAATGAAATGCAAATATTTAAATGAGCATGCTTTCGCTTTTTATTGTACACCCACTTGTTTGTTATCTGTGTGCGATATTCAGCCGCCTACTCACTTGTCTTGTTTACCACTCTGTTTGCTTGAGTTGATATCATTTCTTCATTCTGTCTTAATTTTTTGATTGCAATTTACTGCCGCCCGCCCAACCACTTACCCGCCTGCGCTCATGAAAGGCAAGCAATCAGCATTCATAGTCACAAATGCCCATAACAGCCAACAATGCTGCTTTCGCTGTCCACGCCAGCCAGAGCCTTGTAAGTTGTAACCAATAACGTGCCGCTGACTCGTCAAGATGTACATAAGTTAACACCCACATGCCGCATGCCACACGCCTTCTATGTACCTACCATGCTTAAGTATGCCACAATGCTACCTGGTCGACTGACTGACCAACTGACTGACTGACTAACCAACTGACTGACTGACTGGCCATATCTTTTGCTGCTCGAACGTCAGCTGACATTGAGGCGGGGGGGGTGTGTACAAATTTCACTGATGAAATGCGTCAGCGGGCGGCTGCAATAAGGCAATAAATTGCATGCAACATGCAACAGCCTGCAGTCGTAGTGCCAAGCAGTAGTGGCAACCACAGCGACACCAAGGCGTAATGACATTACAGCAAAGCTATAATGGAGCGGGCGTGTAATGGCTGGAGTTCATGGCAATCGATGAAGCCAGGCGGTTGGTGAGGTTGCCAGCTATGCTTACGCTGCGATTGCTGCTGCTGCTGCTGCTGCTGCTGTTGCTGCCCGTGTGTTGTTACCGTTGATGAGCTTCGGTTCCAGCCGTCACTGGCAAGCAGACTAGGTATTACCCAGAGCTATCACCTGGCTTCCACAGCAGCATCAGCGATTTTCTTGTTGCTGTTGCTGTTGTTGTTGTTGTTGTTGAGGCTTGTTATCTTCATGACAGTGGCGCCAGTGGCTTTGGCAGCAATGAGACATTCCTTTCTGGCAGCAGCTGGATGTATAAAGGTGTATGTATGTAGAGGGAGGAGAGGCAACTACATATAATGTCTGTTCACAACTAAGTACTAACGTAACAATAATCCAATAAAATAAGCTAAGGAAAACGCAAGAAAAACATAAAAATACTAACAAAGGCAAAAACAAAAACAACAAATATCCTTAACGTCTGCGGCTGCTAGAGACATTGCAAAGGATGTGTAGGACATTGCAATTGGAAATGCTATTGCTTTAGCTGCTGTGGCTGATGGCGTATCACAGCTTTCTCCATGGACTTGGACTGCGTCTGACAATCGCCTATCTTCTTCGTTGTTGTTGCTGCTTTAGTTGTTGTTGTAGCATTCATTGCTGCTTCTGCTGCTCCTGCTGCTGCTACAACGATTGTTCTCGTTATTATATTTGCTTTTGTAATTATAGTTTTTATTATTGTTGCTGCCACCAACAGCAGCATGAGCAAGAATACGCCGCTGCCTTTGTTGCGCCACGTAGCTGCTGTGCGTACCGAATTGGCGCTGCTTTTTTGCATAGCTGCTGGATTTTCATCTATAATTCAGAGAAGAGCAAGAGAAAAGACAAGTAGAATAAATATCGTATCTATGCATTTATGTATTTGAATATGTATTATATTAGAGCAATAAAAATGAAATGAATAGTCAACACCATGGTGTAATAATAACAAGGTGTTGTCAGTAACTTAACCTCACTTTTTCGGCAGGTCTATTCCGGTCACGCATTTTAAAGCAGTAGAAAAAGTACAAATTATTTACTACTTTTAATCCGTTCATGCGTACTATTTCAAATTAAGGGCCGTTTTCTGAAGTAACCTTTAACTTTAACGCTCACTTTATATTTAAAGGTTGGATTAAAAATAAAGCTTTGTATAAAGTTAAGCATTTCTGTTATCGGTTTTTGACGAATATATGTTTCTTGGTTATAAACCAATTTAAAACCAATAATAAAATGCTTTACTTTAGACACAATGATAAATTTTAATGCAACCTTTAAATATAAAGTGAGCTTTAAAGATACAGTTTACTTGAGAAAACGGCCCTAAATGTAGAAAAATGTTTAATTACAGGCCTATAAGCCTGAATATATGTTTGTATCGTATGCTCCACACAGGTTGCACATATATTGTAACTTATAAAAAAGTACAGGCCGTAAAATAAGGCAATTTCCTATAAAACTGTAAATGATTTTTTAAATAGATTAGTAATAATAATAATAGATTGGCGCTTACATATATGTTAGCGTTTGGCCGAGCTTCTCCTCCGACTTGTGGCGTGCGCCTTGATGTTGTCACACAAAGCGGAGGGACCTACAGTTTTACGCCGACTCCGAACGGCGATTGATTTTTATGAGAAGCTGTTTTTCATGGCAGAATACACTCGGAGGTTTGCCATTTCCTGCCGAGGGACAACCGCTGTTAAGAAAAAACCTTTTTTCTATATTTTTTGCGATGTTGCTTTGACCAGGGTTTGAACCCAGGTGCTGCGGAGTGGAGCGCGCACTGCTTGCCACTACGCCACAGCGGCTGACATATAGATTAAAACACATAAATATCGATAATATAAGCGAAGTCGTAATTTAACCATGCTGCCGCTCTATTCTAGTGTATCAGTAGTCCATTTGGCTCGATATTATGACAATGCAGCAAAAGATATTTAATATAAAAAAATCGACTTTCCATACGATTTTTGTGTACGTCTTTTTCCATTGATAACTACGATATCTTTTATATTTTATATTTTGAGGACAAAAATTATACAAATCCAGCAATTTTAATTATTAATATCGTTCTGAAAACACCAAGTTCTTTAAAAATCACGATAAAATGAAATACTAAGATGGAGTATTTTAAATACAATTTCCCAACTAATAGCATTATAAAAATTAAGATCGGCAGCACTGAAAATAAGCATGCCGATCTTGTCAAAATTACAACAAACACGTCGCTACTGACAACACCTTGTTATTATTTCACCATGAGTCAACACCATCACCAGAGCGGGCGGGTGAGTGAGTGAGTGAGCGAGTGAGCGAAGCGCAGAAGGCAATGGCATGAAATACATAGATAAATAACTTAATAAAATGTAAATGTTGCGTAGCAAAATGGACAAATAGACAGGCGGAGAGAGACAGAGAGTCGTAGAAGCGGACAGACAGGGAAGTAAGCAGGCCGGTAGGCACGCAGGCTGCCACAAAAAAGCAAACAATTTAAAGAAATTGAGCATCAGCATCAGTGTATGCTTAGAGCGTTTTCTACGCTTACTGCCATATATGTATGTATACCAGAGCGCTGCATAAATGGATTCCAAAGAGTGTTATAGACAATCGCCTATGTTTGCTATACTTACCTACACCTGAATACCTACAACGTTAAAATCGCACGGAGGAATCTGGTGCTGGTAACAGACCACTTAATTGCCAAGGGTAATAACTAGTATAAAGGGTATAATTCATATGAAGAAAGTAATGGCGCATTTACATGGTATGACGCCATATGAACTGTTGATACGTTAAAATAGAGGGACTACATGTTCTAATGAGGAATTCAATGATATCGAGTGGGATGTATATAATAAATTTTTTCATATGAAAAGTTATGGGGAGATACTGTAAACATACTGTTGTGATACTGTTAAGCATATGAAATTATAGCAAGTTGAATTTTCATACATCTTCCCATAAAAAGTTTAACAGATGCAGAGATACCAAGGGGGGGTTTTCCCATTTTGATGCCTTTTTAATATAAAAACCCACCGAAAAGGAGGAAAGCGGCAACTCCGCCATTCACATACATGTCAAAAGTATGAATTTAAAAATTAAAAACAATAAACAAACAAATTCAAAACAAAGAAATTCTGAAGCCACTCACGTTTAGTGGACAATAAAAATACGAAGAACTATGATAACAAACTTACAACAAGACATTACAGAACATTTTAATGAGCTTTATATCACGTTTAAGTAACAATAAGCCTATATTTTCCAAGCTGGCAAAGAAATGAAAATTTGTATTTTTTGTTGTTTACACAAAGCCTTGCCAAATATACATATAAGTCAAAATTATAGAAGGCATGTATACTTCTCCCTTTCATTTTTTCATACAGTTTATGCTTCTTTCTGGCTTTTACAAAAATGCAGGGATACCGCACTTATTTCGGTACAATATGATCGTAATGTATTTTCAATTCGAAATCAAACAAAAACATCCCACGAAAATGTTTGCGATTTTAGAACCATTAGTGAATATTTGCAAACTACTGCAAAGAATGGAGTGTCATATCTTAAAAGGTTCAGAGAAATAACGAAACAAACAAACATTTTATGGTCTTATATTCTTTCACACCGCATTGCTTTTTTTCTAACTTTTCCTTTTGTTTAGCGCTGTAACCGCTTAAGTTATATCTTTTAATTTATACATGTGAATTATTATCAATGAGCCATTTTTTCATTTGCTCCTGAATTTTGGGTACATTTTCTTATAGTACCTCTCATTCTTTTTTTTATTACATATATAGACTCCGTTGTTCGGGATGGTATTTTGAATATACCAGCAATATACAATGTAAAAGTAGTGGCGGCTGTTGTAGAGCATCGCCTGAGCTCAAGCCCAGTTTCCCACCAACATCAAAATATAAAAAACAAAAACGTTTTTTTCTAATAGCGGTTGCGCCTCTGTTGGTAATAGTAAACCTCCGAGTATATTCTGTAATGGAAACGACTTCTCATAAAAATACAATTGCCGTTCGGAGTCGACGTAAAACTGTCCTTTACTTTGTGTGACAAAATCACGCACGCCACATATCGGAGGAGAAGCTAGGCCAAACACTAATATATTGTGTAAGCGCCAATATGTATATCGTGGTTCTGCAAAACTTCGTAACTGACATTTGTGCCAAAAAAGATATTTGGTCACCGCAAGCTCCTGCCATCAAGCCCTTAGCCATTTATAATAAAAAAATAATAATTAGAAGAATTAAGGAGAAGAGATAATTAAGTTTAAAAGAGAGAACCGTTTTTAATTAGGACATGTTTTACTCTCTCCTATAAAATTTAGACAAACCTCACATACGAGGTTTTGAATTTTTTTCATGGCGGTTTTGTACTTTAAACGACGATATGTAGAAGTATTGCATACATATTTTGGTGCATTTCCATTGAGAAACGGAAGAAAATGGCATCCCTATGATTTCAACTTATGCCAAATGTTTCATAAACAAGCAATTCTGAACAAAAAACTGTTTTTCCACAAAGATGTTTAAATGGAAGCGTTACAAATATGGAAAAGTTGCAATCCACAAGGCTTTATTGGCAGTAGGTCCTTTTTAAAGCACATTTAACAAAAAAATAAGCTATTAGTTTCGAAGTTAGCACAAAATGAAATTTTTTTGTTTGTTGTTTACAAAAAAATACTTGCCAAGTATATAAGTCAAAATTGTTAAATATATATCGCTTTCATTCATTTCTTCATAGAGTTGGTGCTTCTTTTATAGGAAAATTCATACGGCTTGTGAACAGATTCATACCATGTAAATGCACCATAATATTCACAAAATATTTTTACTTATGAAAATTCTAACAAAATATAGGAAAATAGTCGTCTTTAATAACCGCCCAACAAATTGGACATAGGCCGTTTGTATGAATTTTATCTGCATGCTTTTTAATACGTTGAAAACATTGCTGGAAAACTTTAAAATTTTTGCATGGAACCATGGCGCACACTGGGGCCAAGCGTGCTCAAAATTAAATAAAAAAAAAATGTTTTTTTTTTTGGAAAAATAAAAAGGCGGGTTTATTCTCCATTAAATTCTACATTTGGGGGTACGTTTTCGCCATTTTTAGGCTGGGAGATATGCGTGTCTAAACTCGACAAAATTAACAAAAAAACTTATTTTTTTCAACACTGAGAATAAAAAATGTGCTATTCAAATTGTTATTGTAAGAAAGCGGTACTATATTCGTTATTTTGTTTTTTTCCATTACTTAAAATGAAGTTTATTTATTCTTTCGGTTATTTTGTTGGAAATATTGTGTTTTAAAAAACTAAAATTTTGTTGGAAATTATGTGTTAAAAAAGTTTCAGAAGTGAACTAGTGTCATTTTATTATTATTTTTTTCTAAACAATAGGAGGGGAGGGGTGCGGGGGACACGAGCGCGTTGTCGAACGCGGACCGGCGCGACGCTGGGCACTTTCAAAATTGTATACTTACAAATCCGTCCATTTAACTTATTCATGTACTAGGTTTCGTCAAATGTAACTGGGTGACATTGCATTATTTTGCTTTATTACTCAATTGTTAAGTTTAAAATTTTGCCTTATTGCTCAATGAGAAATGAAATAAAGCAAATTTGTATTATTTCACATTAAATTGGGAAATAACACAAATTTGCGTTATTGCCGTTTATGTTATTTCACCCCCTCGTCCACCAATAATGGCAATAGTGAACAGGCGAAGTAAAACCATTTAGGCAGCTCTCTAATGCGTACTTTTATTCGTACATATGTATATATGTACATAAATGGCAGCAAGGG